GACCTGGCCCCATTGGAACGTTACCTCTGCACCTAGGCCAGAGATTCTATTTCTTGACCAGTAGTTTTCTCTTAACAGGCCTTGGCCCCACCCCCTCACAGAGGTAACCATAAAATCTTTTGTGTAATTCTCAGGAGCAGAGAGGAAAGGAAGTTCTTGTTTGACGCCTGAAAAGAGATGTGTGAGGTAGTAAAGGCAAGGGTTATTAACGTAAAAGTCCTGGGTCCTAGGTGGGGAACCAGGAGACAGGGACATTTTAAAAGGTACATTTTAAAGTCCATTAGAATATGCAACCATAAGAGCCTCCAGAGTGACAAACACAGGACCCGCTTTCAAGCCCTTTGACAGCTGTTGGGTGTGTAAAACTGTCGTCATGTCCCTCTCAGAAGGCTTTTACACAGGACGAGAAGATGATCAATGTTTAAATTAAAACAATAGTCTGGAAGGTGACACCCACGTTTAGTCCTAGTGGCTGGGAGACAGAGGCAGACAGATCTCTGAGTTGGAGGACAAGGCCCAGGACAGCCTGGACTACACAGAGAAACCCTGCCTTGAGAAACAAAACAGGTGACCAGAATTAGTCTTTTTTTCTTTTCCATCAAGGCTCATTGAGGGTCTAGTTCTCAGGTCACCTGGGCTTGGGAGGGACAGTAATAGAGAGACACATTGCAGAGAGAGAACTCAGGTGAAGCCTGAATGAACCAGAGAATGAAAAGGAGACAGAAGATTAGAGCAGATTGTTGGAGTTAGTTTGAGGCCAAGCAGAGCAATTCAGAGACCAAGAGAAAAGCCAGATAACAAAAACAGCTGAGTTGAACCAGCCAGCCCAGAGCTCAGTAAGGAAAAGAAAGGGTGAGCTTATTCAGCAGTAAATCGCAGAGGCTGAATATCCTAGGCCTAGGTTAGATTATACGGAAGCTAGAAGCTTCCAGGACTAGGTCTGGCTTAGCAGACAGAGGCAGTAAGCCTTCAAGACAACTAAAGCAGGCAAATAAAAGTTCCTTTTATAGGAACATTTACAACCACCAAGTCCGGCTGTCGCGATCTGTTCTAAGCATCCACAGCTGGTTTAGGAAGACAGCAGCTGTTGGCTTGAGGAATAGTGATGAGCAGTTCCATCTTAATAAAGAGAGCTGACTCCGAGCTGTAAGACATAGATAAAGTAACAAGGTAATAATGTTTGCACACTGTTAGGCCATGAGGCTTTGCAAGTCCCCAGATAAATTTCATAGAAAACACTGTCTATCTGTCTGCCTGCCTATCTATCTATCTATCTATCTATCTATCTATCTATCTATCTATTCATCTCATTGGTTCTCTTTCTTTAGAGAACCCTGACTAACACACCATCCTTGCCACCTAAATGAGTCACTGCCATGCTGAGATAGTGTGGCCTTTTTCTTTGCCTAGTTATTTGGTTTTCATTTCACTTTACTGTTTTAATACTAATGTGCCATTTATTAGTTCAATACCAACATAACATATATTTTCTGAAAAAATAAGTTGAAAGAAACATAGAAGAATGAGGAGAAGCTAAAAAGCAGGAAAAATAAAAAAACAAACCCAGCCCTGTGCTACCCATAGAAGCTTTGTGGTGATTTATCACTTTGACCTAATTCCCTTGTCCGTGTTGCCCTCTGTTCTGTTCTGTTTTCATGGCTCAGATGGTCTGTGGACATGTTAGGTTCAGACTGCTGGGCTCCAGGCCCCTGGCCTCCCAGCTGGCGCTTGTCCTCCTCGGGACTTGGCAAACTCCTGTTTAGCCCAGGAAAAAGACATTGGCTTGAAACACAGCAGCAGGGCTTGGGCCTCAGCTGGTAGGGTGCTGGCGTAACATCTGCCAAGCCCTGGTTCCACCCACAGTGCTCAATAAAGTGGACATGCTGGAGCACCCCTTCGTCCTACATGATCAGAAGTTCAAGGTCATCCTCTGTCTTTGGCAAAGAGAAACTCACTGGAAGCAATAAAAAAAAAAAAAATAGAATTTGGGGCAAAATTACCCAGGCTCCAAGTAGGAGTTGAAAGTAGTAAGCAGTGGCTCACGCCTGTAATCCCAGGACTCAGGAGGCAGAGACGGGAGGATCTCTGAGTTTGAGGCCAGCCTGGTCTACAGGGTGAGTCCAGGACAGCCAGGGTTACGCAGAGAAGCTCTGTCTTGAAAAACAAAACAAAACAACAAAACAAAACAAAAACCCTGATCACCAGGTAGGAGTTGAGCAGCACGTCAGAAGCAAGGGTGGGACAGACACTTTTTTTAAAGTCTCGAGGGGCCGTGTTTTCGATCGCTGTTCTGTGATCCTCTGCAGGATCCTCTGCAGTGCCTCGACTGCGTCTCATCAGACCCTGCTGTCATGCCTGCAATTTCCACATGTGGGTTTCTCTTCTTTTTTCTTTATTGCACTTTATTTTAAGTGCATTGGTGTTTGCCTGCGTGTAATGGTATCCGACCTTGGAGTTGTCAGCTGCCATGTGGTGCCGGGATTTGAACCCAGGTCCTCTCTGGAAGAGCAGCCAGTGCTCTTAACCACTGAGACCTCTTTCCAGCCCCTGCATGCGGGTTTCTTAATAGTGGTGCCGTTTCTTCTCACTGCTAAGCCCCAGCCCCAAAGGGAGCGAAACAGTCATCTGAATGCACACTGACACACACAGCTTGCAGCGTATTTCTTTTCTCTCTGTGTGTGCCTGTGTAGCGTGACATAGTCTGTGCCGCACTGTGTTGTTTTGTGTTGATACAGGGTCTCAGATTGACTAGGCTGACCTAGGACTCACTGCATAGCCTAGGATGATTTTGAATTGCTGCTGCCTTTATTTTTCGTGTGTGTGTGTGTGTGTGTGTGTGTGTGTGTGTGTGTGGTGTTTTCACGCTGGGAATAAATTTTTTTCTCTTATCTTTATTCCCTAAATTTAAAGACTGGCACATTTGCTAATTCTCTGAGAAGCTTTTCAACAACAACAACAGCAAAACAAACAAATAAATAAATAAATAAATAGCTCTTACTCCAGCAGGCACCAGGTAATGGTGAAAATCGTTGATTCTCTCCCCATGCTGCACAAATGTTTGTGTGTTCTAGATTTTTGCTCTGTTCTCACCGGCTCGACATTTCCACAGGAAACAGTACACTAAAATTTCAGACCTCATTTGTAACACAATTTGTCAGATGCCAACAACCTTCTCCAAGGACATAAAAAGATGCAGAACACTAAAAAATGTATGACACTTGCTTCTTTTCAGAGAAATATCAGGAGAAGAAAGATAACTTAGGCCTGGTATGTCTTGAGTGAAATTACACAGTTCATGATTTTTGTCCCCTTTCACTGGTAGGCTGGCTCTTAGCTGCTGACTGCTGCTCAAGGAAACAGTTCGATTCTCGAGTGTGTTCAAACGCCTGTCAGCATCAAAGCGTCTTGGGCTGCTTGCTGATTACCACTGCAGGGGCAATGGGTCATTGCTCTGCCATGATCGTGCTTAAATCTGTGGCTTAAACATTCTTAAAATGGCAGCTAACTTAGAGGATGCTGATGTTTTCCTGGACTATTTGCTGTGCAAATGATTCAGGCCGTGAATGAGGTTTGCTCAGATACGTCCAACATTAAAGACAGCATTGTGTGTTAGCAAGTCAGGCATTCTTATTTGTATTTAATATTATCAGTAACACCTGAGTTCCTCTATAAGGCTAAAATTGGCCCATCTTAAACTTCCCTTCATGCTGGGTAGAACAAACAGGCGGTTTTCAGTAAGTCTGGTACCACGTGCTCACGGTAATAAAGTCTGAAGCATTATTCAGAAGCCAGTTCTTCTGAACGGTTCCTGGGGCCTTGGAAAGTTCTGGAGCTTGTCATTGGGAAGGAAAGGTGGGGAAAAGGCCCAGCCTTGTGACGGGTAACAGCTACATAATCCATCCTGTCTGCAAACAGGCTTGGACGTGAGTTCGCTTCTTCCTTGACTCGGCATCTCTTTTGTTTGCGCCAGTGCTCTAGGAGATGGGAACAGGAATAGTAAGCTACTTTTAACAGCAAGTTGGATCTGGAGATACCGGTGGAATGCCAGCCAGAGACAGGATGAGGCAGGAGGATGGCTGAGAGTTCAAGGCCAGCCTCTACTACATATGAGACCGTGTCTAAGACATAGATAACAACAGGGCCTTTCTCTCCTATAGGATTTCAGACTGTCATGGTTTGTAGCTTTGAAAGGTTTGGTGGTGGCTGGCATGTAGCTCAGTGGTTGAGTGTTATCCTGACATGCTCAAGGCACAGGGCAGGGTTTTTAGAAATGCTGAGTGGTAATGAGTTCTTGTGTTTATGTTTTCTTCCACGAGCCTGGCTGCCAGCGTTGGACTTTGCCAGCTGCCTTCAGCAGCTGCCTCCAGATCCATTCCTGTCCTCCCTCCCTGCTGGCTTCTCCACGGCCCTACAAGGAGAGCGCTTCTCTGAGCCACTGGCATTTGATGGGAAGGAAGCGAAGGCTTTCCCAGCTTGGAAGAGGCGGCAACTGTTAAAAGTTCTCATTATACGCAGACTACAAGTCTTCCTTTAGACTTGAGGATCCGATTTCCAGCCCTGGCGAGATGGAGAGGCGCTTCGGGCAGCACCACGGCCAGCGCCCGCTGTGCCCGCCCCTCAACATCAATGTGAAGGCGGCAGAAGACGCCTCACCCGCAGCCCGGGCGCAGCCACGCCGCTTGGGGCCCCTGTAGGGACTAGCTGTGACCCAGAAGGAAAAACCGTGGGGTTGGGCGAGAAGACCTACCTAACTTCCTAGTTTTGTTTCCCAAGGAGCTCCGTGAAAAACGGCCGGAGGGGAGGGACGGCCCTTCCTTCTGCTCACCCACCACCCCCGTCAAGAAAGACAGCACACACTTTATTGCAGCAAAACAGAACGGCTGGCTTTAATGCTTCAAGTTTTCCATTTCCTTCCACAGGGCTTTGTTCGAAAAATAACAAAATGAGGTAAAACGAGTCAAGGTATGTACACGTCAAAAACGGGTGCGGGCTGCGGTGGCGGCGGCCGGGGCCACACCCCGCAACCTCGGCACGGCTGTCGTCCTGAGGAGAGAGCGCAGGCGCCCGCCGCGGCGCCTAGAAGCATTTGCGGTGCACGATGGAGGGGCCAGCCTCGTCGTACTCCTGCTTGGTGATCCACATCTGCTGGAAGGTGGACAGCGAGGCCAGGATGGAGCCGCCGATCCACACGGAGTACTTGCGCTCCGGGGGAGCGATGATCTGCAAGACAGGGGTGTCAGGCGGCCGCGCGCGCCCCCCGCCCCGGCCCCCCGCCCGCTCCGGGCGCGACGGCCACCTTGATCTTCATGGTGCTGGGCGCCAGGGCCGTGATCTCCTTCTGCATGCGGTCGGCGATCCCGGGGTACATGGTGGTGCCCCCCGACATGACGTTGTTGGCGTACAGGTCCTTCCGGATGTCGATGTCGCACTTCATGATGCTGTTGTAGGTGGTCTCGTGGATCCCCGCGGACTCCATGCCTGGCGCCCGGGGAGAGCAGCGTGAGCGGCGGCGGGGGCAGGGCGCTGGGGGCACGGCGGGTGGGGGAGGGCGGCACAGCCGGCCGACTCACCGATGAAGGAGGGCTGGAAGAGCGTCTCCGGGCAGCGGAAGCGCTCGTTGCCGATGGTGATGACCTGCCCGTCGGGCAGCTCGTAGCTCTTCTCCAGCGAGGAGGACGAGGCCGCGGTGGCCATTTCGTTCTCGAAGTCCAGGGCCACGTAGCACAGCTTCTCTTTGATGTCGCGCACGATCTCCCGCTCGGCTGTGAGGGCGGAGGCAGCAGGGGGGCGTCAGGGAAAGGCCTTCCGGCGGCGCGCCCTGGGCGAGCGCGGGGGGGGGGGGGGCACGCACCTGTGGTCACGAAGGAATAGCCACGCTCCGTGAGGATCTTCATCAGGTAGTCGGTGAGGTCGCGACCAGCCAGGTCCAGACGCATGATGGCGTGCGGCAGGGCGTAACCCTCATAGATGGGCACGTTGTGGGTGACACCGTCCCCAGAATCCAGCACGATGCCTGCGCGGGGGAGGGGCGGCGGTGAGCGGAGGGGACCGGCCGAGCGCAGGGATGGGGCCGTCGGGGACCCGAGGGGCACGGCACGCGCTCTTGGGGCCCAGCACCAGGCGGGGTGGGCCGCGCGTGCGCACTTACCGGTGGTACGGCCGGAGGCGTAGAGCGACAGCACGGCCTGGATGGCCACGTACATGGCAGGCACGTTGAAGGTCTCAAACATGATTTGGGTCATCTTCTCCCGGTTAGCTTTGGGGTTCAGGGGGGCCTCTGTGAGCAGGGTCGGGTGCTCCTCGGGGGCCACGCGCAGCTCGTTGTAGAAGGTGTGGTGCCAGATCTTCTCCATGTCGTCCCAGTTGGTGATGATGCCGTGCTCGATGGGGTACTTGAGGGTCAGGATACCTCGCTTGCTCTGCGCCTCGTCGCCCACGTAGGAGTCCTTCTGACCCATACCCACCATGACGCCCTGCGGGTGGAGACGTCAGACGCCTGTTACCTCGGCCGGGGCGGGAGGGGGGGGGGAACGCGGGCTGTCCGCAGGGAGCCCGCCCTTCTCTGCCAGCAGCCCGACCTGGTGTCTGGGGCGCCCCACGATGGACGGGAACACAGCCCTGGGGGCGTCATCCCCGGCGAAGCCGGCTTTCACCAGGCCAGAGCCGTTGTCACACACGAGGGCGGTGGTCTCGTCTTCGTCGCACATGATTGTCTGGTTTCTGCAAGGACAGGGCCGCGGCGGGGTTGAGCGTTTATGTGTGTGTGACGGGGGTTTGGGTGAGGCTCTGTCCAACCGGCTTCCCTTCGGAGATCCAGAAACTTTTCCTAGCCCCTTGCCTAGGGCCAGGGGACGCTGTCCCAGCTCAAGGCTGTGCTTCAACTAAGCAGTCTACCGACCACGCTAGGTCCTCCAACTAGGCCTGCAGGGGACATCCTGAGACCCTCTACCTTCCCTTGCAGGCCTCACACCCCGCAGCCGGCACTAGGGCTGTTCCAATCTCATCTGCGGAAGCGACGCTAAGGCGCCCTGCCCACACGCCGTCCTGTGAGAGGGTCGAGGATTCTGCCCAGGCTTTGAAGGGTAATACTGTCCCAACCACGGGGTTGCCTATTTGAACACCCACAGCGTTCCACCCAAAAGGAACCCATCACCTGTCTCCTATTCCAGAGAAGGACAGCTAGGCCTCGCTGCCCTTTAGAAAAGTCTTGGCCTCAGAGGGGGTTGCCCTAAGGCTAAAGCAAAGCCGAATTTCTCCCAACACATCTGCAAATTAGTCTTCCAGGTCCTGGGGTGTAGCTCTGTGGGAAAGCCAACCCACATTTTGCATCATAAGGGCCCAGGTTAATTCCCAGTGGAGAAAGGGTGGGAGGGAAGGGATGAAAGGAGAGGGGGGGAGGTATTTCAGGGAGAGGAATCTCAACCAACCAGGGGCTGGTGTGTGGCTCTGCAGGAGAACACTGGCTTGGTCACTTGCAGGAGGACCTGGATTTAGTGCTCCCAGGGACAGGAGAGAGCTCAGACACATCCTAAATGCCTAGTCAGCAGCCCAAGTGGGCTGGAAATGAGTTTGGAGAAATTTCCAGAGCCCAGTTTCTTTAAGGTGTCTGCCTCTGGGGCAGAGCGCAGTGCTAGACACAGGCCCAAGACTGGACAGCTTGCTCTCCTGGGTCCTCAGTCACCCTCCCCTCCCCACCTCCACCCTACCTGCTGCTCTGACTCTGGCCCTGGGTGTCGAGGGAGGGAAGTGAGGCTTCACGTCCGCGTAACAGCCTGGCCCCCAGCTCAGGTTTTTATATAGTCCCGGGAGCTCTCTCCACACCGCCCCGAAGGAATGTTGTTGCCCTTCCCAAGCCATATTTGGGTGTCGGGCACTAGAGTCCCTTCCTTCGGCTGGTTCTCAGCCTGGGTCCCCGCCCGGGTCTCCCGCACTGACCAAAGAAGGAGAGGACTGGCCCTAGCCCAGGTAGCTAGGACCGGACCGGGCCGTAAATGGAGAGTGTCCCCAGCTGTCTGCCCCTCCCAACTGGCTCCGAGGCTTGCTGAAGGGCTGGGCTGGGCCAAAGGTCACTGCTTCGCAGATCGCTGCTCTGCACTTCCCAAGTTTTACCTGTTTCAAAGGTCTCCGCAGCTCTGCCCACCTGGGCGCGTGAGCCGCTGAGGAGGTCCTGATTCCTGCCACACTGCACCCATTTATGGGTCCTTAACTCATGCGACCAGGCCCTGATGCTTAAGCCCAGGGGATGGACGTGTGGTCAGGTGAGCTGGGAGGGGTCATGGCTCCAGGTAGGGATGGAAAAGAAGCCCCACATTTGAACTCCATTTTCCTTCCCACTTCAAAGATCCCCAATCCAGAGATCTGACCCACATTACCACCCCCACCCCCCCGTTCCCAGCCCCTCCACACACTGTCAGTCAGTTCAGGGCGCGCAGCTGTCACAGGGCAGACAACTGGCGGCGATAGAGGAGGTAGTGAGAGGAGCCGTGGGGGCCATGTGGCACATGAGGCTGGGGCATGAGAGATGTCCTTGCATTCCCGAGGTGCACTCTCGAATGGAGGAGTCAGAGTGGGGGTCCCTAACTCCAGACCCTCATCTGCATGGCTGGGTGGGACAAAGGATAACCCTTCCCCCTTGGAGGCACCAAGTGCCCCTCCCCTGAAAGAAGGCTCGTGCCCACAACTGTTGGAACCTAGAGGGGGCGGGGGCAGAGAGAGGGGGTGACTGGTGTCCCTTCTAAGGAGCACCAAGACCTTCGGCTGCAGCCCCGGAGCGGCTCCGCCCAGGCAGACTCATCTTTATATTTAGAGACTGATGCCTGTCAGCCAGCTGCTTCCATCTACCTTGGAGCCCCCACCTGCCAGGCCCATGGGGGTTCTATTTATACCACTGATGGATGGGATCTGCCTGTGGGTTTCTAGAAGGAGCTACTTATGGAAGGTGGGGTGGGGGTGACCGCAGGTCATCTCTTGGCGCCTGTCTCAATTTGGGCAGGGAGAGGGACCACAAGGAAAGTGTTCTATGACCAAACAGGCGACATGCTTTGAGGGGTGCATCAGGGCCAAGCCACCACGGAGCCATTCACTTTTCTGATGGCTTAAGCGTTCCCAAAATAGTTGTTCACATTTGGAGTGGAACTTAGCAGCTGGGACAGGTGCAGATCCTCCGAGGGCCGGGGAACGCTGGGGCTCCTCCGGGCTCCCACGGTGTTCCCCTAAACCCGGGCTGCACAGCCTCACAGGGCCTTAGAGTAAGGACAAAGCTAAGGAAGAAGCAAGCAGCAAACATGTAGTATGTACAGCTTTGGGGAATGCTTGTATTGGGGTCACGGATGTAGGAAGGAATGCGCTGATGCCCCGGGCCTCAGAAGGCTCAGGTTGTATGCACTGCCTCAGATCCCAGATGACCTGGACTCTCGCTTATCCCACTGTAGTGTTCTCGGCTCCCCAGAGTCCACCAGGAGGAAGCGCCTTCGAGCTGCGAGGAACCACTGCACCACATCTGGCCCAGCAGCAGGCAGGTGAGCAGATGGACTCTAACCTCAGCTGCACTGTCTGTCCTTTCTCTGGGATCCTGGCTAGGCTCTCCACCATCTTCCTGCTGGTCTCCCAGTGCTTGTGGGCAGGGCACTTACACCATCCTGCTGGTGTGTTCACCCTCATCTCTCCTTTGTCCCTTTACTCCTCACCTTCTAGTAGTCCTTACACAACCTTTCTACCCAGGGGCAAACAGGACAGCTAACAGGTAACAATCCCCCACTCCTCTTTTATAGTAGAGCTTCCCCAGCGGCCAGCAGCACAGCTCAGCTCTACCCTTTCAACCCTTGCAGAAGGTCTGGAACCAGAACTGCACGGGACCTTCTCCAGGGAGGGCACGGTGTCAGGGGTCAGCCTTAAGGCATTGACTCTCTCATGTAGATTCTGGGGATTGAATTCAGGCTGCCTGGCTTGCGGCGCTTACCTGCTGAGCTGTATGCTGGCCCCAGAGGCTGGCTCTTATGGAGGAAAAACCAAACCAAACCGCCTTGTTTTTATGAAGGTCATTCTGTACATGGGACCCGCCATCCTAACAGATGAGGACGGGCTCCTGGAAAGGCTCCTTTGACTGAGAACAGAAGTCAAAGATGTGCAAAGTATTCACGATTCCCATAAAACAAGAGCTGCTCTAGTACAGCCCTGGCTCATTTCAAAACAGGAAGCCAAGGCTTCCAGGCTATATAGCTGCTTCGTGTGTATTTCTACCACATGCCCTAGAAAAGCTGTTCTAGCCAGGATCATGGGGCACACTTGGAGTCCCAGCACTTGAGAGGCTGAGGCAGGGGGACTGAGAGTTTGAGGCCAGAGCTGCAGTGAAACCTCTCACAAAGTTTCATACAATGTGTATAATGTATAACATACACACTATATATGTTGCAGTATATATTGTATTTAATGTATAGGTTCATGTGGTCTTCAGATGAGCTATCAGGATACGGCAGCTGGCTTGGAGCTCGCTCTGTAGACCATGCTGGCCTCAAATTCAGATCCACCTTGCTCTGCCGCCCGAGTGCTAAGATGAAAGGTATGTGTCACTATGTCTGGTTCGGTATGTGGGCTCTTCACACATGAATATTGCATCATTCTGAGGACAGAATGGGAGTGGGCGGGGAGGCTGTGGGGGACTGAGAGACCACGGCAGCCTAAGGCGCCTGGGTTTGTCTCTGGCTCTTCCCACAGCAGCAGCTGAGAGAATGAAACAATGAACTGTCTCTGCCCCGCACAGGCTGGCGGGGCGGCTTACTGGGGTTTACAGCAAGTGTGCTTTAGTCCTGCCCAGGTCCTCCCCGACTCACATCCTCAGAACACACGGCACTCACCTCTGCTCAAGGTCACTCAGTCCAGGCAGACATGCTCAACAGGCCAACAAGGTTAGGGGAAAAAAGGATTACTAGGCATCAGCCAACATTCGGGGAGTTGATTGAGAAACCATTGATTCTTTAGAGATGGATTATATGCCCAGTTTTCAAGACTTAGGAGAGAAAGATACTCAAAACTGAAAGTCTTAATTTTATTTTTACTGCTGGGCGCAGTGGCGCATGCCTATAACCCTAGCACTCTGAGAGGCAGAGGCAGGTGGATCGCTGTGAGTTCGAGGCCAGCCTGGTCTACAAAGACAGTCCAGGACAGCCAGGGATAACAGTGAAACCCTGCCTCAAAGAAAAAAACAAGACAAAACAAAAAAACAAAACCATTTCATTGTTACTGTTGGAGCAAGGTGAAACGTCAGCCATTCTGGAGCTGCAGGGTGAAAGAGGGTCAGCCTCCCTCCTGACAGGTGGGCCACACTCACAGCTCCCAGAGCAACACCTATAGGCAGCATCATGTCCTAGAAGTCACTTAGGGGCTGGAGAGATGGCTCAGGGGTTAAGTACTCTGGTTGTTCTTCTAGATGTCCCGAGTTCAATTCCCAGCACCACATGGTGGCTCACAACCATCTGTAATAAGATCTAGTGCCCTCTTTTGGCTCAGGTATACATGCAGGCAGAACATCGCATATATATCTTTAAAAAAAAAAAAAGTCACCCTAGGAAGCCCGGTGTGGTGGCGCACCCCTTTAATCCCAGCGCTTGGGAGGCAGAAGTAGCCAGACCTCTGTGAGTTCAAGGTCAGCCTGGTCTACACAGTGAGTTCCAGGACCATTAAAAAAAAACCAACAAACCTTAGGCTCATGAGTCAATCCTGAGATTATAGCCGATGCTAGGCCCATATTAGGTAGCAGTGACAATTTACTGATAATTCAAAAAGCCACACAAACATCTTACTTCATTAAGACTCAGCACTTGGGGGCTGGAGAGGTGACTCAGAGGTTAAGAGCACCAATATGCCCAGCTGCTCTTCCAAAGGTCCTGAGTTTATTCCCAGCAACCACATGGTGGCTCACAACCATCTATAATGAGAGCTTGTGCCCTCTTCTGATCTGCAGGTGTACACACAAACAGAATACTGTATAAAAAAAAAAAAAAAGAAAAGAAAAAAGACTCAGCAGTTGGGCTAGAGAGATGACGCAGCAGTTAAGAGTACTGTCTGCTCTTCCAAAGGTCCTGAGTTCAATTCCCAGCAACAATGTGGTGGTTCACAACCATCTCTAATGGGATCTGATGCTATCTTCTGTCATTAAGGCATACATGCAAATAGATGCTCACATGTATAAATAAGTAAATCTTAAAAAAAAAAAAAAACGACTCAGAACTTATTGATGGGTATGGACATCACACGTTTAATCCCAAGGTTTAGGAGGCAGGTGCGTCTGTGAGTGTGAGGCCAGCCTGGAATAAAAACAGTGAATTCCAGGTCAGGCAGTGACACAGTTGGAGCCCTATCTTAATGTTTTTGTTTGTCTTTAACTCCGTGTAGACGGTGAGGAATGGTCCCAGTAAACTAGCAGCTGTCAGCTTTCCTGAGATAAAGCCAGTGCTCTGTTCTCTCAGGCACAGTGGAAGTGAAATCTGGCATCCATTTTGCTGAGTAGCAACTTCCCTCTGGCTCTGCCCAGGAGATACCAACTTGGCAGACTCCGGAGTGTAGCACAGCCACAGTGACCCCAGACATGGAAGAGGGCAATCTTTAAAAGCATTTCCCTTAGCTCTCGACAGTAAAATACCATCATGTTGTTTCCCCTTCCCTTGCCCAACAGTGCAACACGCTGGTCCCCACTTTCCTGCTCTCAATTCATGGCCTCTTTTCCTTTACTGTTGACCTAAATATAGACACACAACCTGCACAGTCCACAACGTGTTATTTGTGTGACTATTACTTCAGGGCTGGAACTGAATAACCAATGCGGGCAGGCAACCTGTTTTGTTTTTCAAGACAAGATCTTCCTATGTTGGCCAGCCTGGCTTTGAACTCCCGTCTCCTGTCTCAGGCGTTCCAGGTGTACGTCACCACACTTGGCTCAATCTTATAGGACAGGAGGAAGGTGCACAGGAAGCAGTGTGGAGGGGCTGTGGGCCTCACTGGACCAAGGGAGGCTGCCGGAAGGACAGCAGCCCAGGAACAAGGGACTTCAAGTGAGAAAGGAGAAGAAAACACCTTATAGCTAAAAAAGAAAATCGGGGTTGCAGCCCAGTGTGTGTTATAGCTCCCAAATAAAGCACGAAAAGCCTGGCGGCCACAGATCACACTATACAAACTTCAAGTCGATATTTTATAAGCAAGCATTTATACAAATTTTAGAAACCACCATTTCTACAAATATCACATCTGTCCTTGGACATAATACTCATAATTTGCTTTTAGAACAAACTCAAAGTACGGGTTGGACTTGAGGCTTCCGAGCTGCTCTGCCTGCAGCAGGTCCTTCACCTCTGGCAAGTATTCGCTGAGTTGGATGCCTGCAACAGAAGACACAGTCACTCTTGCTTCTGCGCCTCCCAGCAGGTGAGAAACTGGGAGTGCTGTCACTGAGCACACAAGGCCCGCACTGGGCCCCATCCACAGTGCTCCCAATGTGGCAGCAGCCTCTTCAGAGCCCCTGCAGTTCTCACTGGTCAAGACAGCTGCCCCAAATGAGTCCGTAGTAGAATCTGAAATTGTCATTTCTTTTCTACAGTTTAAGTCAGTCCTTCAATGTGGATGTTTTCAACTACTAGTCATTTCTGTGTTGCCCTATTTGGGGAATAATTTAATAGAAACACAGCCAAAGAGCTGGCCACAGTACTGCAAAAGTGTCACAACCTGGTGCCTGGCCTTCCAGCACTCAGGATGGGAGGGAGAAGGATCCCTTGTACCCGATAGCCAAGAGGAGCCTGGGAAGCACAGTAAACCTCTGCTCAAAGAAATGGACATATACACGCATGCACACATGGGCACGCACATACACGAGCATGTCAACTGAGGTCAGACAGTAAGACAGAGGGTTAGGAAAGCCAGGAAGCACCACGGGACTACTGAGCCACAGCGATTACCACAGTGCGCGCAACCTCATCTGACAAAGAAAAATGAGCAACATCATATGATCTGCTACATTACTCTCAGGCTCTCTGATTTTAAAGACAACACTCTCAAAAGAAGGCCCTTGAGAGCTAGAGAGATGGCTCAGAGGCTAAGAGCACTGGCTGCTCTTTCAGAGGTCCTGAGTTCAATTCCTAGCAACAGCACGGTGGTTCACAACCATCTATAGTGAGATCTGGTGCCCTCTTCTGGTGTACATGAAAGCAGAGCACTCATGTATAGAAATAAATCAATCTTAAAAAAAGAGGAGGCCTGGGCTGGGGAGACTGCTCAGCAGTTAAGAGCACTGGCTGTTCTTCCAGAGGTCCTGAGTTCAATTCCCAGCAACCACATGGTGGCTCACAAACCATCTATAATGGAATATGAGACCATTCTTGGAGGCCCTTGGCCAGTCTGTATTCTTGATGTATCTAGCACTGTTTATGTAGTTGTTATAAGTTGAATAACTCTGTATCAGCAGAACACAAGTGTGTACCAGGTAGGGGCAGGCATGTTTTATGTTGATTAGAAGACCTATTTTTCATGCACATTCACAGCGAATGTTGGGGTCATGTGAATGACATCCCAGTGAATGCCACGCTTATCCATTCTGCAGGATCACTGGACTTGGGTTACATGTATGTTCCTCGAATAGAGCATCTCTGCGAACAGATCTACCAGAGGCAGCCTGTCTGGTCTGCATGTGCTGAACCTGGGACCCTCTGTTTGGATCTAGCAAGTCTGAAGGAACCACATTTGTTCTTTGTCTTTTCTGACACATTCCATGTTTTAAGCTCCCAGAATACAAAAGGCAGAAGTCTCTTCTGAGATTCATCTTTCCAAAAGTAGCACATACTTGGTAAATATGTAAATATTTATTTTATGTAATATGTAAATATTAAATATTTAAATTGTAAATATGTAAATATTTATTTTCATATTTGTAAATATGAAAATATTTATTTTCAGTAAATAGAATTTTTCTTCTTTAGACACAGACTACAGGCACACAGCATATTTAGTTCTTATTTTTTTAAAAAATTCTGGACACGAGTATTTTGCTGCTTATCTGTATATTGCTTCGTGTCCTCAAGAGGCCGGGCGTTCTGTCCCTGGAAATGGAGCTACAGGCATGAGGCACTGTGCGGTGCTGAGAATTACACCCAGCTTCTCTGGAAGAGCAGCAAGTGCTCCTAACCATTCAACCATCTCTCCAGCCTCAATTTTTTTTTTTTTTAAGATTTATTTATTTTATATATGAGTGTTCTATCTGCATGTACACCTGCATGCCAGAAGAGGACATCAGATTCTAGTACAGATGGTTGTGAGCCACCATGTGGTTGCTGGAACTGGACTTAGGACTTCTGGAGGAGCAGACAGTGCTCTTATCCACTGAGCCACCTCTCCAGACCCCATCCAGCCTCAAATTTTAAATTCCATTTTCTTTAAAAATTATTTATTTATATAATTGTTTTCTGTGTTTTGCCTGCGAAGGTGAAAAGGAATGGGCTGGAGCTATCGACAGCAGTTAAGTCACCATGTAGAGGCTGGCCTTGCACAAGGGCTCTGAACTCATGAACCCTCTGCAGCCCTGGTCACACGTGTTACACTTAGAGTGTGCATGTGCGAAGGTCACACGTCAGCTCTTGGAGTTGGTTGTCTCCTTCCAACACACGGGTTGTGGAAGAAATGGCTTTACTTCCTGAGATGGCTCAGCAGCCCTTGTTTTTATTTCATGTATATGTTTGTGCCAAGTGTGTGCAGGTAACTACGGAGGTCAGAAGTGGGTGCTGTTTACTAAGGAGCTGGAATTACAGGCAGCTGTGAGCTAGGCACTGAACTTCTGTCCTCAGGAAGAGCAGGGTGCACCCTAACTTCTGAGTCACTTCTGCAGACCCCGTCATTTATTCTCAACTGCGGAGTAAGGAATATACCAACCAACGCCCGTGTATCTCATTTCCCATCTGCAGTCTTCACAGGAGTCAGCAGAGAATCGCTACTTCGGCCACAGCCAGAGTCTGTGCATCAGGTGGAGAGCTTCACCATAACCCTGGTGACCCCACGTCCCCAGTGCCAAGAGCAGAAAAGCAGCTTTTGCTGAGAATGAGGCTCTGCCCACATGTGATCCTGCTTCACCTGATTCACCAGCCCATGTCACACTGGCAGTTCCCATGACACCCAGAACCAAGGAGGAACACTTAATTTCTTTCTTATCCCCTGGTTTTTGAAGACAGGGTTTCTCTGTGTAGCCTTGGTTGTCCTGGAACTTGCTTTGTAGACTAGGTTGGTCTCAAATTCACAGAGATCCACCTGTCTCTGCCTCCTACATGCTGGCATTAAAGGCGTACACTACCAAGCCTGGCTGCAACGTTTAATTTCTAATAGTTAATAAACCACTTACCATCTTTTATAAGTTTCTGCAAGATTTTCACAAATACACTGTCTTTAGACACTTCAATTGGATCATCTTTGCCATCCGAACCAGACCAGCTGGAAAAGAAAATTACAAGGGAAACAGGATCATTGTGGCAGCTTAGACAGTGATTTCTGTTTGCTACTGTGGCTTTCTCCTGATAGCCATGGGACACTGGGACACTGCTCTAAATTATCAAAATCATGGACTTTAAATGTGGACACAGCTACATCTGTACTGACCTAAGCTAAGCTGGCAGCAGAAGCCATCACTGTCACTACCACACAATTTTAAAAAGGCGCTTAAAAAAAAAAAAAAAGAAAAAAAAAGATTTATTTATTTAGCAAATGAGTGCCCTATTGACATATATATCTGCACGCCATAAGAGGGCATCAGATACAGATGGTTGTGAGCCACCATGTGGTTGCTGGGAATTGAACTCAGGACTTCTGGAAGAGCAAGACAGTGCTCTTAACCACTGAGCCATCTCTCCAGCCCTGGCGCTTCTTTTTTTTTTTGGACATACATTTTGCTATGCAGTGCATGTTAGCCCCAGCCTCTTTACTCACACGCCTCACCGCTCAGGTGCTAGAATTACAGGTGTGTATCATCATACCTGTTGTGAGGCATCTTTCTAAAGAAAATGCTTCAAGTAACAACTCTAGTCAGCATCCTAAAACGCTGTTTTTCAGAGCACAGCAGTAGCAACAAGTTTAGCAAATCCTGTCTTTCCTGAACATGAGTGCACCACAGCACAGTGAAGAAGAGCCGCTTTCTTCCCAGTGGGTCTGTGTTGAATGTATACAAACCACAGGCAACCTAAAACACAGACTAGAAGCTGGTAAAGGGGCTGCCAAGATGGCTCAATGGGTAAACATATTTGCCATGCAAATGTGATGACCCGAGTTTGATACCTGGGAAAGGTAGGTGGAAGGTTGATTCTAAAAATTATCCTCTGACCTCTAAAACATAGACACACACACACACACGTGAAAAAAAATTTTTTTTAAACAAAGAGTCCTCAAAATTACAGTATGTTTCTGAGAGCAGGAGAGCAGGAGAGCAGGTCCTGCACCTTACTGGCTGCAGCACTCAGGAGAGCAGGTCCCGCAGTTTACTTAAGCAGCACAAGGGAAAGAGGGTAGAAGAGCTGGCCCCGGCCCTTGGTTACAAGGCTTTGAGGAGTGGGCCCTGTGCCTTGACGGGGAAGCACAGTGGATCTGGCTCTGGAGCAGGGGGTGCAGGTGAGCAGGCCTCAGGGCATGAAAGCAGGGGAGTTGACCCTGCCTCCTGCTCATGGTGGCACAGGGTGGCCTAGGCAGACCAGTGCTGTGAAGCTTGCTCTGGTGGCCTGGGTAAGAAAGAGCTGGTGGGCTGACCAGCTCAGCTACCACCCAGGCCCAGATCCAGGGCTCTCTGAGCTGGCCCACCTCAAATCTATATGATCTGTGAACAGTTGGGATGTGTGAAAGGGCCAGTCCTATTGGTCCAAAGCTGCAGGATCTCTATGACACTGGGCAAAAACAGGATAAGCAGGAGAAAACCTAATAAGGATCCAGTATCAGCGGTGTCACAGAAACCAGAGATCTGGATCCAGAACAATGACTCGCTGCAATGAACATTTGTGAGTAAAGACATGTGGATATACTGTGGAACACACTGCGATATTCTATAGTTTGTATGATGAAATGTTTTCTATGCTTTTTTTGTTGTTTGTGTTCTGTTTCTTTGGGGGGAGGAGGTTGCAATGGCTATGAGGAGATGGGGAGATGAGCAGGACTGGGGTGCATGATGTGAAACTCACAATAAAGAAGCAATAAAAAGTTTTTAAAAATTAAGGCATTTTGAAGCTGGAGAGGGTCTGGTTTAGTTAACAGAATTATGTAATTCTAGCTCTGGGAGATGAAGACCTTCTGACCTCTGTGGGCACCGGGCGTGCATGTGTTGCATACTCACAGCAAAACCCTCATATACATAAACTAAATGTTAAAAACAAACACCAACCTCCCTCCCTCACCCCCCAAAAAAACAAAAGGAAGAGAAGCAGTGATTTATACATGGGTGGTCCTCAGTCACTAATGAAACCAACACTGCTCAAAGCTGGAACACCCAGAAGCACATAAGCCACAGTTCTGCCAGAAGCAGTGCCAGCGGGCTTGGCACCCAGGCCGGGACTCACTCATCTCTTTGCAGGGCTCTACACAGGATCTCCAGCTTCAGATCATCGATGCTCACATCTTCTTCCTTTACAGGAGAACACAACAGCCTGAGTTCAGGTTGGCTTTAGAAATAAAGTGTACATTGACATTTTAGGTATACTGACTCCTAATTAACACTGCTGTTCTACACTAATTCATAGCCATCACCACCATCTATACAATTTATTTTCTATGTGTGAGTATTTTGCTTGTATGTCTGTAAATGGATTGCATGTGTACATGATCCCAAGGAAGCCAGAAAAGAGCACAGGAGTCCCTGGAACTGGAGTTACAGATGGTTGTGAGCTGCCAGGTGGGAGCTGGAACATACCTGGGTTCTCCACAAAAGCAGTGAGTGTTAACTACTGGGACACCTCTCCAGTCCCCTTCACCCCCTTCATTAAAGTGTGAGTACTGCTGATATCTGTGCTGCTTTCAGACCACTCTGAGTTCATCAGGAACTTCTAAGGGGCTAAAATTATAAGGGTCAGGCAGGGAAAATCCTAGTGAGTAAAGCATGGAACCGCTGTAAAAATGTTGGGTGTGGGGGTCCACATTTGTAATCCTAGCTGAGAAGGGAGAGAAAGGGGGATCCCTGGGTCTCACTGGCCAAGCCAGTCTACTCTAATTGATGAGTTTCAGGCTAACAAATGACCTTGTCCCAAAGGCAGTGTGTGGAAGGTGCTCCTGAGGATGACACTCAAGGCTGTCCTCTGACCTGCACACCCAAGTGCACGGATGCACAGCTGCCTACATATGAAGCCCACAGAACAAAAACAAATGGCTGCAGAGCCACGGGTGCTGGCTCACACTCGCGAGTTCAGCCACTGGGAGGTGGGAGGGTGAAGTAAGAGGGCTCCTGCCATACACACCAATATCCTGTCTCAGAAACAGAACAGAACAGAAACAAAAAAGAGAACAACAACAAAAGAACACAGAAAACACAAAACCGAAAAACAGGCTGGAGGGCTGGCACAACCATTAACAGCGCTCTCTGCTCCTACGGAAGAATGGGGTTTGGTCTCCAGCACCCGCACGGCGAGTCAGCCGTCTGTAAAGTGAGTTCCAGGAAATCGGTAGTCTTCTGGCCGCTGTAGGCACTGCACACACATGCACACACTTAAATGCATGCAGGGAACACTCACACACAAAAAATAACAACAAAAAGCTATGAGAAAGTTACTATAACTAACATCTACCAAACAACTTGTAGTTACACAGCTGAGAAACTGGACCTGAGCCTCCTGCACTTTTGACTTTTGAAAGCTGAAAGCAGGTGGCTACTGAAGAAGAATGCCTTCACACTTTGAAAAGCTCCATTAAAATTTTTTTCAAAACAAGTGCTCAGCAGGTAAGGGCACTTGCCACAAACCAAATGACCTGAATTTGGTCATGGGAACCACCTGGTAAAGAGGATAAAACTGGCAAGTCACGCTGGACCCAAACACAAAGATAACCATCCCCAGTTTTCTTCCCCTTGCACAGTAAAAGCCAACTGGAAATGTGGGAGGATTCTCTAGAATTGGTGTTTCCCATCAGCTTTTCTAACAGTGTGGATGGAAGTCTGATTCCCAAGACAAAAGAAGTTCCATTCCTCCTTTTTATATGTATGCAGATGGTTTTTCAAGACAGGGTGTCACTATATAGACTTGGCTGTCCTGAATGGAACTCACTCTGTACACATCAGGCTGGCCTCAAACTCACAGATATCCACCTGCCTCTGCCCTCCGAACCTCCCGAGTGCTGGGATTAAAGGTGTGTGCCACTACTCCCTGCCAGCCAGACTGATTTCTTACCTCATCAATATATTCCAGCAAGTCCAAGGCTTTCTTGAAATCATATTCATTGGCTCTTCTGTTCTCTTCACAGATATACAGCTGCAACACATTCCAAGGTATAAGATTACCCAGGAGATTATGTGAAGAAAACAAGTCACTGTGTTCATTTACATAATCTGCATATATTTTTGTAGCCAAGAACAATTTCATATTTGGGAGCTAATATTCTGTGTTCAGAAAACTGTCTAGCAATACATATTTTAAGCCCAAAATTAATTTGTATAATGAAATAAACATATACTTTTAAAAAATGCCAAAAAATTTATATTCTTAGACCAAGAATATAGTACAAGCTTTTCTTTTTCTTCCTTTTTTTTTGTTTTGAAAAAAACAAACAAAAAAACACAAACAAAAACCACTTTTTTGATTAAAATTACCAATATGAATTTTTCCTATCCTTCTCTGCTAACAACTATGTATAATAGGACAAATTTTACTTTTAAAAACTGTATACAATCCTTTAATGTAAAAAATCTTTTATAAACTACTTCCTAGTTTTCATCGCCACACGGTTTAAACCTAATTCTTTGCAAAATCCCTTTGCCTCCACTTTGAAACTGGAGAGTGGCATTTAAACGTGTCTGAGCAAGACTGGCATCACACAGTCCATGAACTAATGGCACCTACAGTCTCTACCTGAGATCTCTCTCTCAGGAGACAGCACCACCCAGAAGCTCTGCTGCCAAAAGAGGTGCACAGTCAAGGGTTCTGGACTGCTGCTTTCCTTTAGCAGCACGTAGAGCAGACTCAGGGCAGAATGCCCAAGAGGAGGAAGGCGGTGTGGAGGAGTACCAGCTGCTCACCCGATGCATCCGGGATGCTCTGGCCTGGTCACTTGGTTGCCAGGAAACGGGAGAAGACAGTACCAAGCCTGCACACCTTAGCTCCTCCAGGGCAGCGTTGCTCACGAGAGTGCCACCCAGGGGACCCCAGAAGGCCAGGGC